TAAAATCGAAATGAAACTATTATTTTTGCCTTAGTTTTCTCATCACTTAATAATTGATCATTTCTCTTGAAACGTATATCTTTTTTCTTCTATAATTACACAAAATAGCATGCAATTATATAAATAGAAAGTACGTGCATTATCGAAATACTGAACTTTTCAACTTGTAAATGTTAATTGCTTTAAAATTTCGATGAACTTTATCTGTTCGTATATTAGTTACGAAACAGTTACAAACGCTTAGTTTGTACAGATAATCAAGAATACTTTATTTTATGTAATTATATAGAAGAATATTGTATATTTATTACTAGTTAATATTTAATGAACGAATAATTATTTTTTTGTTTACAAATTTTATTTTAAAAGGAAAAAGTTGTTACAAAATTAATATGAAAAATTTACTTACAGTTAATAGAAATAACAAAAAATATACATTTAATATTGCTTTGGATTGAAATATTCTTGTAAAAATTCTAAGTAATTGTAAAACGTATCCAATTGTAATTGCGATTATTTTTACATTTAATTATGTAATTTTATTATAAAATAATTCATAATTATAGTAAAACGTAGAAGATTTATAAAGAAATTATATTCTCAGTTTAATTGTAGGATTATTTTTAACGGAAAGCGTTTTTAATAATGCGGATTCAATCAGTCCGAATTCACTGTAGTCCGGTTTGATAATTTCAAAAAAAAACTAAATTTTAATTGAGAAAAATACAAATAAATTGTAAAAAAAAAGTAGTACACAAAACTGTTCAAGTCTAGCTTATATCTGTGCAGTTTGTTTGTATGCGTTAGTTCTGCTTAGTCCGGTTTCAAACAGTCCGCTATATAGAAAGAATCGATTACCCGCACTATGCGAGATATTTCTGTATTTAATAAGATTTTAGTAATTAGTTTCATTTGAGAATTTGAATAAATTGAATAATTTTAGTTTTAGTTAGAATTGAACAATACATTTGGTGATTAAGAAAGTCGTGCTTATGTAATTCCAATCCAAGAAAAATATAACAAAAATACATACAAAAAAACTTGTTCTAGAATTTAAAAGAACCATCCGGTTTCCAAACAAATAACTCACAGTGTATTTATAGCATATTGATGTGTTTTAGAAAAAACTTCAATATCGACCTTTGGAAAGTTACTTGATTATATATTTTTGATTATTAACAACAGATGCATATTCTATTTTAAATATTATAATCATATAACCTTGAAGACTTGAATTTTGTTGCAAAACGTTATTACAATTATATGCATGCACGTCTCGACCATATAACTGCCCTTAAGTGAACATTTTAACTGCATTAATGCTACTACAATGGAACAAAATTGATGAACAAAAAAATGTACTCACATAGTTTATAGAAAATAAGTTATAAAGAAAGTTTTGCGTAATAATTTATTGTGTTTTGTTTTGTTTAATTTATATATACAGTGGAACCTCGCATAACGAGCAAAATGAATTGTAAGAAAAATGACTCGCTGAACGAGCGACGTTTCGCATAAAATCTGGAAATTTTGGAACGGATTAAACTCGTTAAGCAGTTTCTTTGTTTTAAGAGTATATTTTTCAATTTATATTATTTTAGTGCATCTGCTTTTTATTTGTAGGCGATTATTTATGTGTTTTTTTATATATTCTCTTCAATAAATTATTGTTTAGAAATAAATAACAAATTATTAATATATTAATTTTAATTTTAAGGAACGTTTAACTATAATTAACTAAATATGTAGGCTAAATATAGGTGAAGTATGAATGTTATTAAATATTTAAAAAAAACACAGTTAATATTGAATATTCTAATTCTATGAGATCAATACTTTCGTATTTCTATTTATAAAAGTATTTGATTATTTATCGAAATTCAAAACTAATGATCGGAAATGGTCTAAGATGAAAGTGGCACGATGCATACATTTACAGGAAATAATATATTGTCTCGACCTAATTATTTTAATTCAAGTTATACGTAAATTTTTAATCATAATATATACCAAAAAAATAAACATAAACACCTGTTTTCCACATGCTATTAATAATGCATAATTAATTAATTAAATTAATATTAATAATTATGAAAATAAACCGCACAAAAAGAGACTTGACTGTTTACAGTGAAACCAAATTAATAATAGTTACTGTTCCCTTTTTTACTAATATTTTTTTAAATATAATATTTCCTAGTTTTTATTTATGCATATTCAAATTTCGAACGGTTTGATGTTCGAACAATTCCAAACTCAAATAAAGAGTCACATTGTCGTTTTATTTCACTATGAAAATTAAAAACGGAACAAATAATTACATTTGATAGTTTTCTTTATAAAGAAATGTTATATTCCCGAAATTTTCCGCTAATATTGCGAACTGTTTGAAACCGGACTAATCGAGGAACTAAATATATACAAAACAACAAAAACCACACCAAAAGAGACATGACTGTTTAAAAAGAAAACCGAATTAGTTACTGTTCATTTTTTACTAATATTTACTAGTTTTAATTTCGCTGAACGATCAAAATAAATTGTAAAAAAAATTACTCTAAAATTGAACGCATTATCGTATATTATATTAGTTTATATAGGGAAAATTGTTTCACTATACGAGTAAAAATTCTGAAATTTTGAAACGGATTTAATTCGTTAAGCGAGGTTCCACTGTATTCGAATTTCGAACGGTTTGATGTTCGAACAATTCGAAAATCAAACGTTGTCGTTTTATTTCACTATGAAAATTAAAAACGGAACAAATAATTACGTTTGATAGTTTTCGTTATAAAGAAATGTTATATTCCCCAAATTTTCCGCTAATATTGCGAACTGTTTGAAACCGGACTAATCGAGGAACTAAATATATACAAAACAACAAAAACCACACCAAAAGAGACATGACTGTTTAAAAGGAAACCAAATTAGTTACTGTTCATTTTTTACTAATATTTACTAGTTTTAATTTCGCTTAACGATCAAAATAAATTGTAAGAAAAATTACTCTAAAATTGAACACATTATCGTATATTATATTAGTTTATATAGAGAAAATTGTTTCACTATACGAGTAAAAATTCTGAAATTTTGAAACGGATTTAACTCGTTAAGCGAGGTTCCACTGTATTCGAATTTCGAACGGTTTGATGTTCGAGCAATTCGAAACTCGAACAATCGAAAACTCAAGAGGCTGAAAACTCGGAGAAATAAGCACATTGTCGTTTTATCTAACTGCAAAAATGAAAAATTAAAAAAGAATTAAAATAATTACATTTGATAGTTTTCTTTATATAGAAATGTTATATTCCCCAAATTTTCCGCTAATATTGCGAACTGTTTGAAACCGGACTAATCGAGGAACTAAATATATACAAAAAACATAAACCACACCAAAAGAGACGTGACTGTTTAAAAGAAAACCAAATTAGTTACTGTTCATTTTTTACTAATATTTACTAGTTTTAATTTCGCTTAACGATCAAAATAAATTGTAAGAAAAATTACTCTAAAATTGAACGCATTATCGTATATTATATTAGTTTATATAGGGAAAATTGTTTCACTATACGAGTAAAAATTCTGAAATTTTGAAACGGATTTAACTCGTTAAGCGAGGTTCCACTGTATTCGAATTTCGAGGCTGAAAACTCGGAGAAATAATCACATTGTCGTTTTATCTAACTGCAAAAATGAAAAATAAAAAAAGAATTAAAATAATTACATTTGATAGTTTTCTTTCTAAAGAAACTTTAAGATTATAGTCGAAAGAAAAGATAATAAATAAGAAAGAAAAGATATAATAAATTTTGTATTATTTACATACATATAAGTTTATTTATTGAAGTCCTGTTCCATTGGTATTATTATTTATTAATATTATATTTTTAAATAAATTCTTAAATTTTTTTATATTGAGTTTATTTTAGGTTTCTGATTGGAATGCTTCAATTTCTATTAATTTTTATAGGGGAAATTTATCTAGAAAGTTGAAAATTGGAATGCATTAAGTTTGAAGTTCGAGTGTCCACTATATTTGGTGTAATTAGTCCTTGGAACTTCGAGGAAACGCTTGCTTATTATTTTTTTCGTTTTTCGAATTGCCTTTTATAACAATAAATGCATAAACAATGGCCTTTGGCGTGACACCGGCGTCGACGGCTATGCTAGTTGAATAATTCAGAAGAGCCGAGCGGCAAAGCAATGCCATTACGGCAAGAAAGCAAGTGCACAGACGAGCCTGCTCCAATTTTGGGTGAATTAGAAAGTGCCTTCACGATCGTTGTGACAATGGTCTTATTCCATTTCTTTCTGCTCTTCACGATTATTTTAATTCCTTTAGAAAGCTCGACGGGAACGTTAATTATGCTCCTTCGTCGTCTCTTTACGCACGTATAATAATAATAAAGTGGATTAATTGACCAGGCACGAGACGAGAAGGGAGAAACGGTGAAGCTGAAGTCATTGCACTCGGCGCAAACCGAAAATATCGTTAAATGTTTATATTTCAGGAAGTGCGAAGTGATTTTAATTGGCGCCCGGCTAATAGTTTCGCCAAATTCCATCATCCGAGACCGCTCGTAAATTATGTATCCTAGTTATTAGCGGTTCGAGAGACTCATCCATATAGGCTTACTCAAATGTGATTCATCCCATTTGCCACGTTTCTCCATAACGTTTTCAAGGAATCGCATTCAATTTTTCCTTTAATTATTTTTCTTTTGCTGCAGTCCGAACGTTTCGTAAGTCATCAGGAATCCATTCGGGTTTCGCGAGTCAAAAAAAAGTGAATTCCAAGGATTCGAAAGTACGAAGCACAATGCACTCGCAGCTCCCACAATTACGAAACTTAAAGAACAACAACAACAAAAAGATCTTTGCATGGGAAATGTAGTTAGATAATTTTTAATACCCAAAACTACATCGTCCAAGGATTTCACTTAAATGACTTTAGGAAGTTGCGTTTTTATTTTTTTCATCTCGTTAATTAAATTACTTACTTTGTTCAAAGATGTCGAATCACTATCGTTTAAAAACTAAAAGTTCCTTCATGTATCTATCACTGGTGTTTAATAAGAAAAAAAAACTTAAAGCCTCATATTTTTGTTATCACTTGTCGCTGATGCTCTCGCCTCTTTGATCTGGGTTGACGGGTTTAGGAGAGTTTAACACGGTTTTCTGCTGTGTCCGTAGCCCACATTTCGTGCGCTAAGAAAAGACCCGTTACGCGTTTCTCGCGTGGTCAACTGAACAACAAACGGCGAAGAAGTAAGTGTCCGATGCGAGTGGAAGAAACCAGGTGAACGGCTCTAGACCGGAGCCGACTGGATGGATACGAAGGGGAACGGAGCCGATCCACGCTGATTGCGTTTCCTTCTTCTTTCACTACACCCACTGACCCAACTCTTGACCCGTTACATCCATCCAAGGGAACCCTCGTTCGCTCTTTTCACGATCATCTGCGTCATCTTATGATAACTGTTACTTATTTATAATGCATACATTGATCGTATATGGAAATTTCCGAACATTTAATGCTGCTGCAGATGACCGATTCTCTTAACTCTAGAAAAGTTCAAGGACGATTTCTAAAACATTTTCTTGATTTAATACATTATTCAAAATAACAATTTGTTCCAGGTTTTCCGGGAAACGCAAAATATTAACCAATCAACAATACCATAATTTGAGACAGAATGAGAATTTTTTATATGTAAATATATTTAAACATTATATGATGTTTTTGTTGCTAACTGTTACAACGTTTTTAATTTGCGGTAAATTCAAAGTGTATGATAATTTTGAATAAATACATTTTCGCACTTAGTTCAAAGCTTAAGAACATCATTTTAAAAGTGGCCTAAGTCCACTTCATTATTGATAATATCCGAAAGTGCGGATCTTCAAATTTCCGAAAGCTGTTATGAAGGAAACTTTAATTAATTAGTAGTAATTAATATCTAAAAATTATACCTTTCTTTTTGGGCAGTTACTTTAGTTTAGTAATCATTATGTTTAATTAATGTAACGAAAAAAATCATTTTAGAAATTATTATATCCATGGGGATGAATAAAACAACAAGACTCTTCAATCCAGAGAGTGAAGACAAATTTGAAAATAATGATTTCAACAAAAAACGAAAGAGAAAAATAATTTTAGAACAATATTCATCGTCAGATGATGAAGATACAAACGAGGCTTTACATAACAACAGATCTAGAGAAGATTTAGAAAAAGAATGGTTAAAGAAAATACAGAGAAAAGAAATACTCAAACTGGGAACAAAAGTTTTTCAACATTAAATCTCATTCAAATTTTATAACAAATCTAATTGTTAATTTTAAAAGTGGCTTAATTTCATTTCTGGTAAGAAAAGACATATTATTTATTTAATAATTGCTATTATTTTAATAGAAAATTTAACTCAATTTAAATATAATTTGACTTAAGTCACTTTCAAAATGCTGCTGCAGGTGATAGATGCTCTTAACCTTGAACGATTTCTAGACTTCAATATTTTATTCATTCAATATACAACATTGGAATTTGATTGTAAATTTTTCCCTATTTTCCCGGGAAACGAGAAATTTAAAACCAAGTGTTTTAAGTAATTTAAAACAGTTACATTAATAAGAGGTAAGTTAAAAAAAATCAATTTGAAAGACAAAAGGAGTATTATTTATGTATAAACCTAAATATACATAGATATTATGTTTTTTTTTTGTTTTAAGAAGAAAATGTACTCTTCAATGAAAACAAACATTATCGTCTACATTATTCATTATGTTTTGTAATATGTTCATGGTCGTTGTTTTGAATTAATGGATTGTTTAGTAATAAACGCATATTTCTTTATAACTTTGCAATTAGCAACTGTGAAACATTATTTTTCTTCATTAAAAGAAGACTTTTTTTGGCACAAATATATTGAATTCCTTAAAATTAAGCAGTCCAAGATTTGATTAAGCGTAGAACCTTTGATCTCTTCTTTGTATGTATAAAAAAAATATTGTTTTTTTTTTAAATTATTTCATTTTTAATATTTTACGTTTATATTTAATTTGTATTTATTTTCGTTTTATATAAATAAATTATATAATGTACAGTTTCCTTCATTCATTTCTTCAAAATTACTTTTACTTTAAAATCAATCCAATATAAAAACGTAAATAGTTTGTTATGTTCATCAAATGAAAAGTAAAATAAAAGTAATTTTACTTGAGTATATAGATATGATATTACGCTTCTAGCAGGAAACGATAAAAAAGTAGGCATGTATAATCATTTAGAAATCCGTTTAAGAAAATTACATTTCCGTAGTTTTTCCCGACGGTTCAATATCTTTAATGACTTTAATGGACATTAAATGTAAACGCTTTCACTACTTTGATTGAATAATCATTCACTGCAAATACTCAACTATAAACCAGTAATTACACAATTAGAAGAAACACTTGATTTCATTAAAAATAATTCAATTACAAAAATTATATTTTTTTATTGATTTAATAATTGTCAACTACGTACATAGATTTATGCATTGAATACTAAGAAAAAAACCTTTTCAATGTTATTTAAGCATCTCTTTAACTATTTCGTTGTTAACAGTTTTTTGGCAAAAACCTGGTTGCTAACAAGGTCTTCTATATTTAATAAATTTCTAACATTCTTTTAGTCGACTTTTGGCTTTTTGGGCGTTAGAAATGACGGAATTCGTTATATCGAGATTTCGTTATCAGAGGTAAATTATAAATAATAAAGAATTCTTAAATTATTATCTTATTATTAGATAATCTATTGTCATTAAATGTAGTTTCTATTTTGTATCAAAAAGTAAATAACAAAAATTGAACATTTTGAACAATTATTCCTAATTTTACATCAAAATCACAATTGTAATTATAAATTATAGCATAATAATGAAATTACGGACTTTTTTATATCCAAGCTTCGTTATGAGAGGTAGCGTTAACCTATATTACTATAAATGTAATTCGATTGAGTATTATAGAAGAAATGTAATGTTATTTTTTTTAAGAAAACTATGTGAACTTATGTTTAGGCTAAATTTTAAATTTTATTAACTAACATATTTTCTTTAGCAAATAACAAAGAATAAAGAACTCTTAAATCATTGTCTTATTATTAGATAATCTATTGTCATTAAATGTAGTTTCTATTTTGTATCAAAAAGTAAATAACAAAAATTGAACATTTTGAAC